TCTTCTTCTTTTTCTTCTTCTCCTTCTTCTTCTTCTACTCCTTTCTCCTCCTCCGCCTTTTCCTTCTTCCTTCTTCTTCCTTCTTTCGTTCTTTATTTCTTCTTAATCTTCTTCTTCTTCTTCTTCTTCTTCTTCTTCTTCTTCTTCTTCTTCTTCTTCTTCTTCTTCTTCTTCTTCTTCTTCTTCTTCTTCTTCTTCTTCTTCTTCTTCTTCTTCTTCTTTTTCTTCTTGTTTTGAGCATTCACTGGTTCTAAACACCGGCAGAAAATTTCCCTTCAAACCTTCTTTCAAGAAAAAAAAAAAAACATGCCCTTCTTCTTAAATAAAATATTCAACTTCTTCTTCTGCAGTATTACCGATTGGTCTGTCGTTGTAGACGACATTAGTGGTCCACTGTTGGTGGGAGTGTTTAGTGGCATAAATACACGCATCCAGCCACTGTTCGATGAGATCTCTGTGACTTTTTGCAACAAGTTTACAGTAGCCAGTGCTGCCGGAAGTTGTTACGACAATCAAGATGACGTCTGGCTGAACGCCGGGCTCCTCCTCCTCCTTCTTCTTCTTCTTCTTCTTCTTCTTCTTCTTCTTCTTCTTCTTCTTCTTCTTCTTCTTCTTCTTCTTCTTCTTCTTCTTCTTCTTCTTCTTCTTCTTCTTCTTCTTCTTCTTCTTCTTTTGAGCATTCACTGGTTTTAAACTCCACCTGAAAGTTCTGCTCGTTCGTCCCTTTTAGGACTTTGATCTTGTTCCATAATTTTAGTTTTGCGTGCACATTTGTTTTACAGATTTAGCTTATTTATATGAAGAATGCTGGCTCATCCGTTCACAAGCGAATATGTACTCTTACTTCTAAGAAAACAGTGGGTCTAACCACCCCCCACCCCCCTCCCACCCCCATTAAAAAAATTGGCCCTGAACCCACAAGAGAAAAAAACATGACAAAAAAATTAAATGAAATAAGCAACACACTCCTGCAGTAATACCGATTGGTCTGTCGTTGTAGACGACATTAGTGGTCCACTGTTGGCGGGAGCGTTTTGTGGCATAATTACACGCGTCCAGCCATAGGTCGATGAGATCTCTGTGAGTTTTTGCTACAAGTTTACAGTAGCCAGTGCTGCCGGAAGTTGTTACGACAATCATGATGTCGTCTGGCTGGACGCCCTGCTCCACAAAGATCTGCTCTGTGCTGTCCTGTAACTCTTGAAGGAAGTGCCCTCTAGACCTGCGTGTAACAATAGCTGGCAGTGTCAGCAAGAGGCAGCCATTACGTTAGTTACTTGTACGTACAGACAATAGTCAGTGTATGAACAATGCAAAGTGGAAATACCCAGCTTTACAAGAACACAACTGCAAATGACAGAATCCTCCTTGCAGCTGGAAAGATTTCATCAGCACACACAAATAAAAACTTACTAGTTTAATTTTTTTAATCTTTAAAATTCTCAGCTGGGAAAAAAGTGGTGAAGGGGAGTGGGGTGGGGAGGGCTAGCTTTTGTCCGGCTTTTTAATTTTAGTTTCTAAGTTGAGGTATTGCGGTTTTTTTTTTTCTTGTGTGCCGAAGAAGGCTTGCCGACCGCAAGATCCATTGTGTTCTTGTAAAGCTGCGCAGTTCCATTGTCCATGTTTTTCGATTTACTCGTTGTTTGTTTATGGCTGTGTTGTATGCTGGTTAACACATTCGGAAACTATTGTTAGCAACCAACTAATCATGTCCCCTGTTGCAATATGCGTGCTCTGACAGACAGCGTCTCTTTACCCGTTGCATATTTACTGATTATGAATATTTGTCTGTGTTCAAAAAACTCTTAAGACTTGTCAATGTCCATCAAATCACCAACATTCTTGTCCATCTCTGAAAAATCTCAACATCCTTCTCTATCAATTTAATCCTTAACATTTTCTCTGTCCATGAAACTCTCAACATTCTTCTGTGTCCACGAAATTCTTCACATTCCCCACTGCTTCCAGTTTCTCAATGTTTACTTTTGTGATTACACAAGGATTACTTTGTAGGTTGCTAACCTGAGCTACATACATTTATGATTACACGGGAATTCCTCTAGATTACTAACATTAGATTATACATTTATGATTACACGAGAATTACCTTTTGTGTTGCTTACATTAGATGCATTCATTTACTGTTACACAGCGATCACCTTGTAATTTCCAAAAATTAGATGCTACATTTATAATTGCACAAAGATTACCCTAATTTTGCTAATATTAGATGCTTAAATGTGTCGTTACATATATATCAACCCTAGGTTGCTAACATTAGATAATATATTTATGAGTACACAAGGATTGCATTACAGGTTGCTAAAATTATATGCATGCATTTCTGATCATACAAGGCTGTAGGTTGCTAAAATTAGATCCACACATTTGTGATTAAACGATAATTACCCTGTATGTTGCCAGAACTAGCAGCGAACATTAATTATTACACAAGGATTACCCTAAGGTTGCTAACATTAGAAGCATACATTTTTCGTTACATAAATATTATCCTTAGGTTTATAACATTAGATGCCAAATTTATGATTACACAAGGATTACTCTAAAATTGCTAACATTAGATGCATACAGTTGTGGTTACATAAATGTTATCCCTAGGTTGCTAACATTTGATTGTACATGTATGATTACTCGAGGATTGCATTAAACCATGCTAAATAAATGCATGCATTTCTGGTTACATAAGGCTGTAGGTTGCTAAAGTTAGATACATATATTTGTGATAATGACGCTGTAAGTTGCCAGCAATAGCTGCAAACATTTATTATTACACAAGATTACCTTGCAGGTTGCTAACATTAGATGGAGACATCTGTGTGACCACAAGGATTACACTGTAGGTTGTCAATATTAAAACCGACATTTACGACTGCAAAAGGATTACCCTATAGGTTTCTAACATTAGATACACATGTATGATTGCACACGGATTACCCTGAAGGTTGTCTGGACACCAGGATGGCTGTTTCCATTAAAGGCGACTTGTCACATGCAAACACAGCTGTGGATGAAGCGGCGTCTCCACGGATGTAATTTTTCAGAATTCTCCATGCTGGGCTGTTCTCTTCTGGACATACAATGGCTGCCAGGAGTCCACTGTTGTTTGCAGACGTCAAGAAATCTGACCCGTCCGAAAACATCGTCTACAAAATCATTACCGGGATTACAGATTGTAGTATATCTAGAGATTCGATACATTTTGGAGAGATACTGAAGCACGTAAACAATATAAACGCTCTGGCACCATGTTAAAACACATAGAAATGAACTGAGTCGACGGTTTCTCTATCTTAACTACTGAGTTATGTGCTTGGCGCAGCACTATAGGCTGTATATTTCGTATTGAATTATTTTCATTTGTGCCCACAGCGTCTGTATCGTGATATTTAGAAAATGACTGATAGTAGGTTTTGTTTGGGTTGGCGACATAATTACCTCATGCAGTAATTATGTGTGTGTGCATGTGGTCAGTGGGAGTCGCCGTGGCCGAGCGGCTAGACGCTCGTCGCGGATCGGAAGGTCGTGGGTTCGCTCCCTGGCGGAGCCGGACTTTTCTCAAAAATGACCTTGGCTCCCAGGTCGACCCAGCCTTGAGTGGGTACCGGGTGCAGTCCCGGGAAAGTAAAGGCAGGCGGCATGATGCTGACCACATCACCCATCTTGTGCCAATTGGTCTATAAAAATATAGGTCTGGCCCTATACGCCTAAAGGCGTGGAAAAGGGTCCTTTACTAAACCTGACTTTACTTTTGCGTGTCGTCAGTTCATCGTAAATGGCTTCTTCCTTCCATCAATAGCAAACTGCAGTTTTGGTGGCGACTGTGTGTGTTGGTATCTCTAGCAGCAACCCTATGCATTCATTGTGCTTGCATGTTTCTATATTTTGTCAGGACTGATTGTTTGTTTACTAGTTTTCAAATAGGACAGTTTGACACCTTTTATAAAAAAATCACTGGCATAGGAATTGATCAACTACGGGGCAGTGAAGAAAAAAAATCGACTGCTACTACTACTGTTGCTGCTGCTGCTACTGCTGCTGCTGCTGCTGCTGCTACTACTACTACTACTACTACTACCACTGCTGCTATTACTACTGCAGATACTACTAAAATATATATAAATAAAAAACCATATACATTCTGAAACGACATTAAAGCATTCCAACGTTATGTAAACATGTTAGTACATAACGTTTATTTTTTTTTCAACACCTTGAGAATTATTAGATATATGATGAAAGCCGCCATTCTCCATGTTGTTCGACGGGAGATATTATCAACCACACGAAGATGCATCTATTGACTGATCCCATGACATGCCGATTGAACAATTATTAGTTAAATATATTTCAAGTAATGTTCCGGCATTCAGACACTAACGAACACAGACCAAAGCAAACAATCGCTACACGCTTAAGTAACTTAACAGTCTAAAAGTTTCACACTCAGTGACTCAAAAAGCTACTTTGCATATGCCAGTCCAACAAAAACAGTGGAGCCCTGTTCCGTGGTACAAAACATTTATACTGGGGCACCTCATAGTTACAGAACGAAACCAGTGGTCGAGAAAGGGGGGGGGGGAGAAGTTACTAATAAGATACATAACTTGTGTTGCATAAGGTTACTTCTTGATATCAGCTCCACAATCACTCATATTTTAGACATCACTTGTGTAACTTACCGAGCCATTCAGCGAAACACATCCTGCCAGGATGATGCCCAGGTCGGTGAAGACTCTCTCTGGAGAATTGGGCAGCGTGTTGGCAATGATGTCCCCTTTCTTAAAGCCGTACTGGTGCCTCAAGCGGCTGGAGAACTTGCCTGCTAGCTGGAACACTTGCCTGCACGTGTACGATTCTCGCCGGTCGCCGTTGTAAAAAACAAACATTTCTCGGTCTGGCAGTGACTCGGACCAATGTTTGACGAGTTTGGGAAAAGTGTCCAAGTTCTTACGTTCAGGTATTGCTACGTTTGCTCCCAT